GTGACGAAATTGTTTCCCTCGTTATTCGTCGCTATTTTCGATTAGCGACATAATTATTGTATTTAGCGACGGATTGTTCCATCGCTAAAAGCTTTTTTTTGTAGTGTTTGCTTGTCTTGGAAACTGCTCCTTCTTCTACCTATTGTCTAGTTGTTTCAAGTGACCTACCTCTACTTCTAGTGATGGTCCGATCGTTTCGAATGACTTGTCCTACTTTTACTAATGGTCTAGTTGTTTTTGGTGACCTACCTTATTTTTATTGATGGTTTAGTTGTTTCAAAGGACATATCATATTTTTACCGATGGTCTAGTTCTTTCGAATGGCCTATCTCTACTTCTACCGATGGTTTGGTTGTTCCAAGTGAATGGTTTGGTTGTTTCAAATGACATTTTCCTACTTCTACTAATGGTTCGATTGTTCTCGGTGACTCGCCCTTATTTGTACTAATAGTCCGGTTGTTTTGGGCGACCTACCCCTACTTATACCGATGGTCCGATTATTCCGAGTGACCTATCCCTACTTCTACTAATGGTTTATTATTAGGCGATTGAACTTGGAATGAGAAGTGATCGTCATGCAACTCGTATAAGATGATAAACTAAATTAGGCAACACCGTCCGTAATAAAAACTAGTCGCAAGGCAAACCTACCTAAAACAACTCAAAAAACGTGACCCCCTCATGATCCCGTGACTTTCAAATTTTGTGGTGTGGAAATATTCTTAAAATATATCAATAAGACTCGATTACAATGATTAGTTTATTATATGTGAGAAATATAAGTTGTCCCTTTGTAATTACTTAAATCCTCCTCGGTGTTTCCTTCTGGCCATCACGACTTCGTACTCGACTTGTATCTTATAAGTATCGCTACAATTTCCTTGTCCTTTAGCCTTTATCACTTGGACCTTTTCACAAACAACTAAAGTGAATGACTTTTTGGAACCTTTGTATGTGATGACCATCCACCTATTAAGATCTATTCGCAATTGATCGTTTTGATTTACGATGTACTTGTTCTTGTCCGTGCCTTTGAATTTCACATGCATTTTTAAAATGTGAAATTTTCATATTTTATAAGTCTAAATTTTATTTTAAAAAAAATTAATAGGATTTCGAGTTGAAGATTTTTGGATTTAAACACTAGTCAATCTCCGTTGTATTTTTAAAATGTATGAGGGCTTACATACAAAAGTGGACACTTTTTTAATCCAAAAATTTAGACTAATGGGCCATGGATCCATCTTATATATAAACATTTTAAATTTCTTATGCTAACTAATGTGGGATTTTCCTTTCACATATGGAACTCAACAAATCTCTCCGTCACATATGAGTCTTTCTTCCACGTTGAAGACTTTTCCTCCATATTTAACAATCCGAGTGCGATATCTAGAACTTGGAATTTTTTTAGACAACTATGGAGAAACCGACAAAGCTATGAGAGTCTAACCACAATTGCCACTCATCCCATGCCAAAACATCGCCTACGCTACCAATTGATAGAGATCAATACTTAGAGAGTCACTTGGGCTTTCACATGGACCTACAATTGTGAGGGCTTATTTACAAAATAAACACCATTTTAGTCGAAAACCCTAAACTAATGGATCATGGGTTTATTTTATATCTAAGACTTGAAACTTTTGTGTGCATAGTTAAAAATTAATAGGTCATGGGTTTATCCAATATGTGAGATAATCCAAAATATATTTATGTTGTATTTACAATGCCAAATAAATTCTATTAAAAATAATTTTTAATAAAAAAAAACCCAAGAAATAAAAGGCTATCATGAATGAAAAATATATAATAATGCCATATATGTCTGCATAGTTAATATCGAGATTCGATGAAAGTTAGCTATTGAGTTTATTAGATAAATTTTATAAAGAAGAATTAGTTGAATAAATTTTAAAAACATAAGAATTACTCGACCAAATTAAAAACACAGAAGTAAAAATTAATAATTAACACACACAGGAGTAAACTTATGAATTTTGTCTTATTATATCCAATTTTCTAAACATTTATCCAATCAAAAGTCTAGCTGAAGTCTTGGTGATAATGATATATAATGGGTCGCGTTAGGAAATTTTCTGATCAGATGTCAATTTGTTTTTGTTAAAAAATAAAAGAAAGCGAGCCAATAATATTTAAGATTTTCTTTGTAAAACAAAAAAGCATTTGATATGCTGGTTCCAAGATGTCATCTTAGATGTGATTGCTAAAAATACAATAGTCAGAAATATAACATATAAGATTTTTTAAAACTTACGAAACACAAAAATGTTTAACATCATAAAATTCTATTTTCAGGAAATCTTGAGTAGCTCAGCAAGAAACGTCCCCTCTGAGGAAATTTGTGTACTCCTCTTTAGAGGTTTGTCAAAAGTGGGATTTTATCAACATTATCGTCATGATTATTAAAATTGTTATTAGGTTATAATTGGTCACTTCAAGGCATGGACGTGTATTATTATAATTGGATTATTACTGTAATTGGGTCCAACTAATAATGTAGATAGATACCTATAAGATTCATTATTATATATTTGGTTAAAGGGCAAACATGACTTGGGCTTCTTTCCTACCCATTTGCTGGAAATGCAAGGAACAAATTAAAGCAAAGAAAAAAGAAAAGTAGATTCCCACTTCACATGTGATGTTAATGTTGTAACATGTTTAGTTTGTCTTGGCTTGGCAACTCACTTGATGATCTTCATGGCATTGATGATTACCATAAAACGAACAACAATTTAATTAAAATAATCACCTAATTAGGTAGGTTCTGTTCCACACAGAACAATTCAACTGCATTGGCGGCCGGCAAGCACTGGATTTGCTTGACGGGCCTCATCAAGATCTTATATCGACAGATCTCCTTACTTATCCTTAACTCGGATTTGACCTATCATTTCCCAGGCATTTTCGTGAGAAAGTGACGCTACTGGCCACATTGGTACGTACGCTTTGTTCTGTCATTGTTACTGTTATCATGATCATGGTTATTAATTAGGTTTGGCTAGGAGAGTAGCTATACGCCCATTTCTTTCCACCTTTTTGTTTATGGTAAAAATCATGATGAATAAATGTTTTGCCCAAATATATATTTGACATGTCTAAAATCCAATTTTATGAATATAAAAAAATATATATATTAGTAAAGTGAAAGTTGGTCTAAAAATATCATAGTTGTTCAAATAAATAAAAATAATAATATTCAAGGCCCATTCGACCCTTACGTCCACCCTTATACATTTTTGTTAAATAATCCACACAAACAACATATACTTTGTTTCAAAAACTTATAGCAGCTCCTAAAATATCATTTGATATATATATATATATATATATATATATATATATATTCAAGTGGTTGCTGTCCACTGTTATGAGTGCCTATCTTCTTATTTCATACTGTCCTTTATGCCCCCTCTGACAGTAACCCTCTACCAATTTATGCCACCATAATGGCAAGTGAATAATGTGATATATCTACAGTACTATAACCAGGAAAATCCTTTCAAATAGGTTTTTAGCTGCCATATTTTGATAGAGTCAATAAATTTGACATGAGCAATTCAATTTCATGGAATACCAAGGAAAGCCCTAAGGTCAAATAGAAATGATGGGGGAACATGACTAGATCTAAATGACATGAATGCTTTTAGACCAAATTTTACAGGAAGTGAAGTAGTATTAGTATTACCCTCCCCACCAACTTAAGGAAGAAAAAAAAATATCTAAGCAGAAACTAGCAATTTCCAACAATCACTCGTGTGGGCCTTTCTCCTAAGATCAGGAAATTAGGGTACCATATGGATTGGGTCCCTCAGCATAGACATCTTCTCAATCGGAGAGAGAGAGAGCTGTTGGGAATCAACTTGAAGGTAGTCATAAAGGACATTTATTGCATAAAGAGAATAATAAGAAAGGGGAAAAAATGAAGAGTAAAAGAGAAAGAAGCCAAGTAGAGAGAAGGAGATAAGCATGGAGAAGTTCAGTTCCATCCAAAGAAAAAAGACCCTTTGGGGTCCTTGTCATGTTGCTGGGGGGTCACTGTTTATACATACTTGTCTGTTTCTCGGAGCTGTAGTGCTTAAGTTCTTTTAAACTAACCATAGAATACTTTATTTCCCCTACCTATACCAATACCATCCAAGATAGTCATTGGTTACAACAGATAAAAATAATGGTCAAAAGCTCATCATCTCTTATCTGAGATTCTGTCCCTGTGGTGGTGTGTGATTGGGACCAAAAAGATAATCTAAAAGCTGCTTTCTTCCTATTGTTTCAGAGCATCTTCACAGAGGTGGATGCATGTATTGTTCAGTCTCCACAAGCACATAAACAAAAAGCAACATGAACAGTGATTTCACCAGAAGATGAAGAGGAGGAAAAAAGGGGAGCATTGGTAGATTTGGCTTCATGGGAGAGGACTCAAAACAGTATCTGCAACCTCATCAGTTCAGTAGACTATGAGCATTCATGAAAAAAAAAAGATATAAAGACTAATAATACATATCAGCCTTTTTGACAGAGAGAAAAAGTTGAAGCTAAAAGCTCTTAAATATCTTCTCTTTTTTTCTTTTTTTTTCTTTTGTGGTATCAGGAAAGTCCTGATTGTTGTCATCCAATACAAAAGAACTGAACTATCAGACACCAAAATGAAGTAATTTCGTCATTCAATCCAGCATGGGGTAAAAAGGATAAAAAGAAAGTTTGCTTATCGACCATTATCAAGAACAGGAGCAAAGAAGAAAATAGAGGGCACAAAGATGCTTGATTTCAATTAGATCAACAGTTACACAGTTACAATTGGACACAAATTTTGGCCAATTATTTCTCTAAGAAGAGCAAAGAAGAGTGAGTGAAGAACTAGAAACAGTTCACTGGTACAAAGCTACAGAATCTAATAATCATATTCTACTATCTCAACACAATTTGTGAAATTCTTCTTTACCCCATGCAAAGAATTAAGGAAAACAAAGATATCTCTATGCAGGTCTATTTCTCTTGTGGCCAGCTTTGCCATCAGGTTTCAAAGCACCACTAAAATCCCCCTCAGAAGAAGCGTCCATGGATTTGGTGAAAGAGGTAGAAAGATCAGCATAAAGGTCAACTACCCTCCTGATATTGTTGTTGAGCTCCCTTATCAGACCCACATTTCTGCTCAGGTTGTCAGGGATCTTGGATTCATGGTTCTGGTTTATCTCATTAATGAGAAGCCTATTCTGATCCAAGATATTTTGGACCTGATCAAAGTTCTTTTGAAAAGTCTGCAAGATCTTGCCGTCTACCTGGGTACCATTGCCAAGTCCTGAGAATGTGTCACCCTCCATTTTATCTTTCCCTCTTTTGGAGTCAGAAATCTATCTAATCAAAACAACCAGTCCTGCATCAACAACAACAAAAAAGAAAGAACAAAATGAGAAAGAACATGAGAAAGAACAAAAGATGAGACAGTGTTTGTTAAACTGTATGTATCTATTTTTTAATAAAGACCCATAAGCATATCTTGTATGTAGATTTATTTATTTATTTATTTTTATTTTTATTTTTTCGAACATCTATCTACCTTGTATAAAGATAGATAGACAGCTAGCTCGCTAGCTAGCTACACAATCCAAAACACCAGACAAAACATGAGAAACCTTGGAATTGTTTAGGACATTATTTTTTGGCATATGAGACAAGAGTCTGTAGTAGAAATCATGACTTCCATGGGTTCCACTTTTTACAGAGGGATCTGATAACAAATATTACACAATTATTATTACAATTATTTACTATTATTATTGGTATTATTATTATTTATGATGAGATGTGAAAAAGCAGATCCCATTTCCATAAAAGGGAACCTCTTTTTTTTTTTTTTCTTCCCTTATGTACTGAGAAAAATACCCACCTAAAACTCAGTTTCAAAGGAGAATCTCCAAGACCCCAAAAACCAGTCAATGATGCAGAGAAGATGATGAGGCCATCTGGGTGTACTTACTATTACTACTTCGGAGACAACATCAGTAATCTTTACAACAGAACCAATATATATATATATATATATATACACATTAAATAAATAAATAAATAAAATGTCGATAACATGTTCAGAAATCTAAATGGGATTTTCATTTCGGACCAAAAAAAAAAAAGAAAGAAATTTACTTAAAATTAAGAAACATATTTAGATACACTAGCAAAGAACCAAAATTAGGAACTCAAACGTCCCAAACTGTACATTAAAAACTTGTAGTTGCTGAAGCATAAATTCTTCCAACACAAATAAATAAATAACTAAGTTCCAAAAATTACACCTTAATAAAAAACCGAAACAACCCAGCCTACATATGAAGATCAACCTTCATAGAAAAAAACTTATATTGGTTTAAAATAGTGCAAAATTCGGAGAATAGTGCCAAAACAAGATAAAAATCAGTGCTAATTAAAAAGAAAATATTAAAAAACCCATCAACTAAATAACACAATTCTGCAAAAATATATATACACACACACTGTAGTAATATGGGGATGGGGAGTACTTTATCTCGTTGTTAGTATATATATTTATATATAAGAATCGTATTGGTTGTACCTTGAAAATCTGGAACATTATATTCTGAAAGAGAAGACAGAGATTGAAGACGAGGGATTCCCGAGAAAGAATGGAAAAAGATCGGCGAGTTTTGGGTTGATGAAATAAAGGCGTTGGTGGTGTTGTTTCTCTTGAATATGAGAAAAAAATTGTAGAGAGAGAAAGTGAAGGAGATTACAATTGTAGAGAGATAATATGTAGATTTGACAGTCACGCTTGGACCCCTCCTTTCTCCGTCTAAATATTTTAAAACAATTCGATTCTCTAACTCTTAAATATATTTCCACCTGTTAATTTCGTTTTTTTATTTTTTTTATTTGGTACTTCTGATTTGATTCACTGGGTACTTGCTATCATCTTTTGCTCAGATCCAAGGCATGATTTCCTTAACTGTTTAATTATTAGGCACGTGGCATGTGCTTCTTGATACATTGTTCATAAACATAGGCCCCACTTTTGGGGTTTTAATATTGTTTCTCCCTCTTGCCAGCCACAGACTTGACACTTCACCACAAATAGGAGGTTAATTACATCAATGGTACATCTATTTTTTAAAAAAAAAGATTAATGTGATTTTTTTTATTCACCATCTTTCTATTTATTTGAATTTTTTTAATGTGGCTTTTCTAACTTTTTTCTAGACAATTTTTTGATTGAAACCGATACTTGACATAAAAAAAAATCAATGTAACATGTCATGTCAGATTAATTGGTCACATGACAAAAATAATTATAAAAAAAATCTTAAAATAATATCTGAAAAATTAAAAATTAAAAGAAAAAAAGAATATAATTCTAATATCTTCTATCTCTCATTTATCTGTTTAATGAAGAGATAGATTTATTTTTTTAGAAAGACTCTCAATAACTCTAATCTCTCTCTCTCTCAATTTTTTTTCCTTTGAAAAAGAACTTCTCTCTCGACCTATCTCTCAATTTTCATGACTCCTCTCTAATTTTATCAATTCTTCAAACCCCACCAAGCCACTTAAATCAAATACCAATCTTGTTAACTCACAATGGAGTATTCTTTGAAGGTTGGGCTGTCAAAGATGGTAGCTAAGAATAAAGAGATTAAGAATTGTCATAACAAAAAAAAAAAAAAAAAAATCACTTCCATTTTACAATTTTTATTTTTATTCATATTATTTACTCTATTTTATTTTATTTTATTTCTTTTTTATTTGAATTATTTTCGAAAAGAAAGTAAAAATAAAAATACAAAAAAAGAAAAATATATAGAAAATACAAAAAATATCCTTAAGGGACACAATCGCATCAAAAGAAAGTATAATTGAAGTATTTAAGGACACAATTGAGTTATTTAAGAAATTCAATACTTGAATTATTGTTCATAGAAGCCCAATTGATAAAAATTATTCTTTACAAGACTGAAATTATATGAAAATGGACATGATTACGAACAATTGAAATTTGTAGGGACCAAAGTAGAACGTTGGAGCGAACAACATGATTGAAATTGAGCAAACGACCTATTGTCCGATCCAACCCGCATTCTTCGAAAAATCCTTCAAAAATTTGTCCAAATCTTCCACTAATTGTGTTTTTTTTTAATTTAAATTTATCGTGATTCTTGGCTAGAATTGATATCGACCAAGAATTATGTAATCATCAATCCATTTCCTTGTGTTTAGCTAACCGAACCTCAAATTCAAGATTTGATAGTGAATTTAGGTTTGAATGGGCCGATCTTGGGGAGAGATTTGAGCAAGTATTCAAAGGTTCCGAATTCGAAGAAAGAGAATCGGAGAATTCGAGGGTCGAGAGAGAGAGAAAGTAAAAAAAAAAAAAAAGGGTTGAAATTCGAAAGACTTGGATTTATCATTTACATTTTTTGGGTTTTTTTGGGCTTCGGGTTTAATGTTCTTAATTTTTGAGTTTTTGTTCTCAATTGTCGGCCTTCTTAGTTCTTTGTTTTTGGTTTTCTAGGTTAAATTTCGATCTTTACAAGTTTCTCAACCTTACATCTTGGGATTTAGGGTTGAATTATTCAATTTTTGGGTTTTTTTCCTTAAAATTTCTAGGTAGCCACATATGTTTCTTCACGTTTTTCTAGGTTGGGGTTCTTTATTCGGATCCGTGTTGTTTGTTCCCTAGATTGATTGAAAGGGTTTTAATCCTGTTTTGAGAAGGATTCTTGTTATCCGGATGAAGAAAAAGAAGAATCAAGAGGGAAAAATTGTAAGGATTGGTGGTTTTTGGGTTTATTAAGAAAATTCTTAGTGCTCTTCGATCATTTCCCGGGTAACCTCTTGGGTTTATTCCAATTTTGATTCCATTACTCATTTCGTTTTTAATTGTTTGTTTGTTACTTGTTCAAGTTTTTGAATTGTGTTTTGATTGAGGAGAGTGTATAGACATTGGTATGATTAATTGAATCTTTTACTCGGAAAGAATTCATTAATTCCTAGAAAACATGAGGAACTAGAGAGAGAATACGAATAACACAAAAAAGAGAGAGAGAGAGAGAGTTAGGAGGGCGTTTAATTGAAATTCCAAAGTGTTTCTTTATTGGGTCCGTTTCGGGCTTTAGCCTAGTCTAGGGTTAAAAAAAAAAAAAAAAAAGTAACCACGGGTTGGACTAGCCCAACCCACCTTGAACAAGGGTTGGACCGCAATCAATCCAATTCGACCCTTTCCTCCCATAAAAAAAAAATGAAAGGGGCTGGATTGATTTTAGTCCAACCTAGTCCTCTCTGCCCAAGAAAATTAAAAAAAGAAAAAAAAAAAAAAGGAGAAAGGTCGAACTTCGATCAATCCAGCCTCTCTCCGAATAATAATAATAATAAATGAACACATAGAAGTAGGGAAGAAAAAAAGAATAAAAAAAAATCGAAAAAAAAGGAAAAGGAAAATTTGAAGAACAAAAATAATAAGAAAAAAATGTTTGACTATAATTTAAATTTTAGATTTCATGCATATTTAGCATTTTATATTTAATTTAGATATTTAATTATCTTTAATCATTTTAATTAATGTAATTGCAATTTTAAATTTTTTGCATGTCTCGTTGGTTTATGTTTAATTTAGAATTCAATGTTTAAATTGTCCGTAATTACTTTAATTAAGGTAATTTTAGTCTTTATTTATTTTATGCATGTTTTGTTATTAATTTAGATTTTCGTATTTGAATTGTCTTTAATTTACTTAATTAATATAACTTTACTTCATCTATTTAGTAATTAAGCTCATTATGCAATAGGTGGAGGATTGTCGAGTTTCTTAATTTTTAGGGACTAATGATAATTTTTTTATCAACAAATAACAAAAAAATAATAAATGATAAAAAATTTAACGAAGTCTCCTATTTGATAAGGACTATCATTTGACCAAAAAAAAAAAAAGAAATAATAAAAATTCTCAACGAAATCTCCTATCCGATAAGGATTGTCGTTTGACCAAAAAAATAAAAAATAAAAATTCTTAACGAAGTCTTCTATCTAATAAGGATTGTCGTTACCAAAAATCATGATTTAATAATTAGGTTGTTCTCTTGCACGTAGGTTATGTTGAGGCTTAAAGTAAATCGATGTTTAAACCAATGTGTCGTCCGACGAAAGGGACCAATTATCGTTTTAATACGATGTCATGCCTAAAACTAAGAAAACTTAATTTGGCTTAGAAAATTAGAGTTTCAAATCAAAAAATAATTTAACACAAATAAAACACTTTAGGAGATAAATTTAGGACTAAACCTAAATATTATACTTTTCTTCGAAAAGGGCATTT